GTCCCAATACCACACTGTTTTTTATTATAATGGCTTTGTAGTATTGTGTGACGACTGGGAGTGCAATACCTCACTATTTCCCTTTATAATCAGGAAAACATTCACTATTTGGAGTTTGAGAAACTCTACAATTCTTCCATTGGAATTTTGAACTTTGAATCAGATTGGGGGGAAGATCTTCCATGTCTTTGAAGTTGACCTCTAGAGATTTTCTCTCTCCCTGTAGTGAATTATTCTTTTGAGGACTCAGGTGCCTCTGTTGTGTTTTTCTGCCTCCCCATTTGTAGCTTTCTAAGTTGTTTTGTAGTTGTATTCTAAGGTGCAGCACTTCCAGTTTTCCAGTAGATGGCACTGTTTGTCAGTCATACTAATTGTAACAGGTATGGGTTGGAGGAGGGGTAAAGGGGGGTCCCCATCACTAGTGAAAGTGGTGTGTAGGGGTGGCTGATGCCTATGGTACTACTGATATCCCTTTCGGGGCCTCCAGACCTGTAGGTCTTTACAGTCTACAGACCAGTCTTTCAGTGCAGCTTTACAGTGTCAGCTCCAGTTCCAAAGGGCTTGGGGGCAGGCCTGTGCTTGGTGAATATTGTCTTCCTCCCTGGGAAACCACTCACCCGGCTCATCCCATCACTTTGCATGTATCTCCCACAATTAGGAGTAATCTTCCACATCAAGCAGCTCTCCCCTCCCTAAAACAGCCCTATCATGGAACAGGAACTTGAACTAAGGTTTCAGCCTGGGGGTCTCCAAGCACCTCTCTTTTCTGACCTTTAGTTGAATAGAGGTCCGTTTCTTCCATTTGTCTTTTGTCTTTGTAGCATTTGGTCTCCAAATCCCCAAGATGCACTAGTTTTGACCCAAGTCACAGAATCTGCTGAGTCTAGGGCTAGGGCTTCCCTGAACTACTTTAGATTATCATCCTGGGAGCGAAGAAATGAACCTCCTCTTAGGCCATCTTCCCCTCCAATAACAGTAACATTTTTTTTTTCCAAGTGAGATCAAGTTTAGGTTTACTTGGAAGATTGGATACGTGTAAAGTAGTTGGCAAGAAAAAAAATAATGCTTATACTATTCTATTTATTTTTAAAATACTGATTTAGTCTACTATTAAAATAACATTACAGAATATTTAGAAAATACAGAAAGGTAGCTGGAATTACACTCCCACAATCACTCTCTATCTTTTTATGGTTCTAATTCTGATAATGCAAGTTTTGCACATTCGTGCTACTACTTGCTTACACAAAATTTCAGTTCCAGCAATTATCCCCAGGAAACCTCAGAGAAGAGCTTATGAAACTCTCTTCACCTCACCCACCCCCAAGAATTCTCCAGGCATGTGCTTGCTGGCGACATTCCAGTGTCACAGAAGAGGCCCTCCTGCTACCACTGTCTCCCGCTCAGGAACTGCTTGGTTCCTTGAAATGATCCAGCTTCTCTCTGCTTTGTTTTGAGAAGAAAGTAATACCCTCCCCCCAACTTCCAGGATTAAATACATATAGAAGGTGTTCCAGAAGCTCAGCTGGTGCCTTTGAATGGTTTGCAATTCCTTCATGAAAATACTCCTACACTATTTTCTTGAAGATTTATATGACTCAGAAATGAATCCAATGGAGGCTCAGTTGGATAAGAGATGACCCCCGTCTTCCACTGACCAACCCTTTTTTACTGAGTGGAAGTCTGGGAGACTGACTTCTAGTCTTGGGATGAGTTTTCAGAAGTAGTTTCCATACTCTGGGAGGGAGGCTCTCCTCCCTGGTTTGTAATATGTTCCCCAAGGACTTATATATTATCTCCAAGGTCTGAACTCACTGTTACAAATGTCAAATGGAGATGACACAGCTTTTCTAAGGCGCTGCCAGAAGGAACTACACAGGATAATCTAAATTATCAGCACACGTGGGCCCTTCCTGGTGGCACAGTGGGTTAAAACACAACACTAAGAAGCTAAAGCCATTTCAGCACAAGTTCGATCCCTGGCTGGGAGGTGATCCACATGGCACAGCAGACCTCGCCTGTCTTGCCTGCTGCTCCCCTCAGCAGTGTATTTCATCAGTCGGTCTGTTCTGCTCCCCACTCTGTCTCTGGTGAAGCCTCTCACTGCCCCTGTTCCGCTGGCCTGTACCCAGTTCTGTATGCATAAATAATAAATCTTTAAAAAAATTATCAGTACATGCTTGGAACATAGCCTCATTATAATCCAAAGATATAAACTATTGCCATTATTTTTATTATAGTTTGAATAAATTATAATTTATGCATATTTATCACTAATTATTCTTTAAAACAAAATATAAATGGCTCTTTAACATCTCACAATATAAGTACCCTAATGGATTTAACAGTTTTCTATTGTTGGACATGAAGATAGCTTTTAATTTCTTCTTTTTAAAAAAGATTTATTTATGCATACAGAAATGGGGTGCAGGTCAGAGGTGCAGGGGTGGCAAGAGGATTCACTAGAGACAGAGCGGGGAGGAGAACAGGCCAAGTGATGAGGTACACTGCTGAGGGGAGCAGCGGGCAGGTCAGGAGTGGTCTGCTGTGCCATGTGGTCACCTCTAGGGCTGGGATCGAACTGGCACTGAAGCGAGCTTGGCAGTGCCGTGTTTCAACCTGCTCTGCCACCAGGGAGGGCCCAGCTTTTAATTTGTAACTGTCATGCATTGTCACAATGAATATTTTTGTACACAACTCTTCCTTATCTCATTTTGCCTAGATTGCTAGGACATGAATTAGGGGCAAATATGGATTTAATTAAAATGGTGTAGTTTCTTTTGGCTTTGTCTTGCTAGAACACAGACTGCTCTCTTCAAACCAGCCTCTTCATTGTGGCATTGATAGTTTTTGAGAAGAAATCACTGACTTGTACTCCCCTATGAGTGTTAGTTATTGCTGTTGTTTCAGTTTGCCTGTCTCAAGATAGGGTAGGAGGTGTGATCGTGGTGGAGGGCATAGTAGTGGGAGACAGAGGATCTGGAAGGGAACTTCACAAAGACTGTCCAATGAGTCACCATGTGAAACCAGATGCTCATTTTAATGTTCAGATGAGGTTGGCACAATGCAGTTATGTGGTTTTTTTTTTTTTTTCGAGATTTATTTAGTTATGCATACAGAACTGGGGTACAGTCTAGAGGTGCAGGGGCAGTGAGAAGATTCACCAGAGACACAGTGGGGAGCAGAACAGGCCAACTGATGAGGTACACTGCTGAGGGGAGCAGTGGGTGGTTGGGGCAAGGTCTGCATCGCCGCGCCATGTAGGTAACCTCCAGGGCTGGGATCGAACTCATACGGAAGTTGCTTTTGCTTCTTAGTGCTGTGCTTTAACCAGCTGCACTGCCAGGGCGGGCTCTCATGTGGCTGTTTTTGTAGATCTGTGGGCATCACTTGAGGAGGCTAGTCCTTGGGAGCTACAAAGAGCAGCATTTCCCACTTGTTCCTCCCTTGTCTCTGACTGTGCACCTTGTGTCTGCCCTCACTGTAGGTGGGTGACCTCACTTATGACTGTCTGGCCTGAACTAATGCCACACTCAAGTAGGGTTCTTTGCTGTTGGTGGTTAATAGGGCAGCAAGAGATGAGAGGCATCTCATTTAGGACCCAGGGACTGGGTGTGTCACCTTGAGTTAGCCAGCTGCCCGCAGTGACACAGCTGGGAAAAGAGATGGACATGTCAGCTGGGCAAAATGACTCAGACAACAGTGTGCCTGGTTCCACTTGGCTGATAGCTTTCCTCCATCATCTCCAGCTGATGGCCACAGACACAAACTGAGCCCAACCCTGGGCAGCCCAGCCCAGGCAAACAGGGCTGGGTATAAATAGTCAGTATCTAAAATAATTGCTGGATGTTTGGTTTAGATTTTTATTGAAAGGGCTACTTAGAGCTTTGGGATATTTCCCTTTATATCTATTCAAGGTATAAGTAAGGCTGGTAGGTATTATCAATATAAATTTGAAAATGAACAGTAAGTTAGGGTTTTGGGGGAATAGTAAAATACATTTTCTTTCTTTTTTGTGTGTGATTACATCTCTTTGGCTTAAAGCAAATACTATTTACTTAAATAAAAAGACAGAACCTAGGCTGCAAGTTTGAACAGTCAAGTATTTGAAATGCCACGTTTATATAGTTTTGTGGTAAATGTTCTGTGAGGGAAATCTGGGATGACTTTCAAGCCATTGAAGTTTCCAAATATTTCACTGGTTTTATCTGTAAAAAAAATAATACATCTGGAAACATCAGCTATCAGCTGTGTTATACTTGTCATGTTTATTTGGAAAATGTTTAGAATGAGTTCTGTTCATAATAAAACTATTTAGTTCAGTATATAACCTATTTAACATCCAGTGCAATGAAAATAGCAGAAAAAATGTTTACATTGGTAATAGTTACATAGATATAATTAAGTGTAGTGTAACACTTGTATTGAAAGGGTGTTGTTTAGCCAGCAAGCACAGGGCAGGTTTTCTATCTGTGGGGGTCAGAGGAAGCTGGCAGCCTCCCAGCTCCCAGGGAACTTGTCCACGTTCCTTTGGGTCTTTCTGGCATCATCCAGTGGTCTTGCCTCTCTGTAGTCACCCGCCCCCTCGTAGCTGTCCTGCTGTAGCTATTTTTGTCGTGTCTGATGCCCAGCCTCCAGGCTCAGCTGCACCCACTTACCTGTCCATTCCACGCTCCAGGGCTCCATCATCTGGCCTGAGTGCCCTGCATCCACACTCCCAAGCGCCTTCTGCACTCAAGGTTGCAGGTGATAGCCATAGAGGTCATTGGCGTGAAGCCTGACCACTTCACTTACCCTACAGGTGTACTTGAAAAAAGTATGCTGAATAAACATGAAAAATGAGTTGGGAGTTGTAAAAACATCAGGGAGTTGTCAGGGTTTTTATACTTACGAATGGGCGGGCAGAGGAGAAAAGACCTACATAGAGAAGAGGGTTTACACACACTGGTCTGATAAAACCCAGAACTCGCTGATATTTGTGCTGCTCCTTCCTGATTCAGACTCCTCAGCAACCTTGTGAAACAGAGGCCACAGGCAACAGAGATGCAATTCCAGCCAATTGTTGAGGATTTTACTCACCTGGTGGAGCGGTGTTGCGAAGCCAAGAGAAGCGGAATGTGTTTCCAAGAAGAGGTATTTCTAGTTCCTATGTCGTCTCTTAGCACTCATAGGATTTACTAAAGTAAGCATAATAATGGAGGATTGTTATAAGAAAACCCCTTTTGCTATCCCTGTCATGAACTCAGACGTTGTAGGTAATAGTGTCTGAACAGAGGAATGCAAGGGTGGCTAAAAATAAAACAAAGGCCGCCTTCATAGCCAAACCCGCTGGGTCTGGTTAGGACTGGGGCCCAGTTTGCAGTGGCCCTGAGAACTGTTTTCACAGGTAACAATTTTCATGAATACATTAATTACCTTCAGTGGCTCCTTTCTACCTATTCAGCTAACCTGTACATATGTTTATGTTAAAAGTAATTTATCTCTAGTTTAGTCATAGGGAGGCAAACAACAGGCCTCAGGTTACATCTGCTTCACCTCCTGTTTATGTAAATAAGGTTTTACTGACTCCAGACCACACACATTTATTGACAAACTGTCTCAGCCTGCTTTCTCTGGCTACCACAGTGGAACTAGAAGCAGTAGCAGCAGGATTGAGCGGTGTGATAGAGACCCTAGGAACGGCAAAGCCCCAAATATTTACTGTTTGGCTATTCGCAGAAATTTGCTAACTCCCAGACTAGCTGCTAAAAAAAAGAAAATAATCACCTATATGGAGCCTATTTAATTTACCTTTTGACTTTTTGTAAAGCATCTAGAAAACATGCCCCAGCCTGTGTACCACTCTGTATCTACGCAAGTTTGCTAAGGAGACTGTGCTTGTGAATTCCTAAGGGAGTTTTCTTCCCACAGTCTTGTTCCTGAGTATGAATACTACTTGCACAAGCTTTTCATTATAGCATTATAGGAGTTGTCCTCACTGCCTGAACTTCTTCAGCACAGAGATGGGAATGGAGTCAATACAAGCGTCAGGCCTGGAGTTCATTGAGGCCATTGTGGCTCAGAACTGGCTCCTTGTTATTTCTTCTACAGAAGGGATAAAATGAGGAACTCAGCCATATGGGGCAAATTTGGATCATTCAAAGAAGAGGCATCTCACATTTCAACATGAATTGTGAACATCGGCAGGGTCAAGGAAAAAATTCTGCCCACAGAAATTCTCTCTTGTATGTTTATGAAGATGAATAATCATTAGGGCCTCCCTGGTAGCACAAGGGGTTGAGTTTCAGTACTATGAAGGAATCCACAGCCACTGCAGCACGAGTTCAATCCCTGCTGGCCTGTTCCCACATGGCCTGCAGACCTCTCCTGGCCCGCCCACTGCTCCCTCAGCAGTGTTTTTCAGTAGATCACCTGTTCTGCTCCCCACTCTGTCTCTGGTGAATCCTCTCACCCTCGCGCTCCTCCACCACACACCTCTGGCCTACACCCCAGCTCTTGTGTGCATAAATAAATAAAATAAATCTTTAAAAAAATAAGATAAATGAGGTCAGGGAGGACTAAAGTAGGGAAATAAGATTTCTCTTACTATAATGTTCAGAGAAAAATGGACAAAATTAAACATTAAGTCTTGAGGCTAAGTCTATGGGAAAATTCCCCATGAAGAGTGACTGAAAAATCATTCATTACTAAGAAGGGTAAGTGTAATACCTGACACTACAGAGGTATTAAAAAAAATGAACCCAATAGATTCTAGTCTTGTTAGATGGATTAGTTATGGTACTGTTTGAGGGTGGGAGGAAGGACTACATTGAGAATTCTCAGCACTTTCCACAGGACCCTATGGGCTGTTAGGAGAGCAAGTCATCTACCCCTTTGTGTGTGTGTGTGTGTGTGTGTGTGTGCTTGTGTATATATACCTGAGCTGTAGACTTCTAGGGTTCTAGCCCCATTTACCTAAGAAGTTTTTACTTTTACCATTTGGGCTTTCACAAATAATCTTTATTTGAATGAAGATAATACAAATAAAAATTGGGGAAAATTACTGAAATTTATGTAGAACTCTAGCACCGTATATGAATCAGCAGGTGGAGATATGCTTTTATTTTAGTGGTTTTGTTTATCTTGAGTTTATGAACCTATGTGGTGACTAGCAAGGTATTAGCTACCTCAGTTTTAAAATTCAAGGAAACTTTGCTCCTGATGGCTTGTTTTTAGATCCTGCAGCAGAGTCTCTCACATTCTTTGTGAGAAGGAAGAAATTTTTAAAACTTATTTCCATCTGGGATCATGGAAATGGGAGAAACTTTGCAGTTAATTAAGTCCTTAAGTTAAGGTAGTAGTCCTGTGGGAAACTCTGGGATCTGGAACATTAGCGCCATTTCAGGCATACTGCAGGAAAATCTTGAAGATTTACTATAGCAGCTGAGTGTTTTTCCATATTTTTCTCACAGATATACTTTGCTTTTTCTCCTAGGGGTCCAAACTGATTGAAAAGTGCCATTCTCTTTTGGGAGGTTAAATGATCACAGGAAGTGTCAATATTGGATTTTTGCTGAGATCCTCATCCTATTTTCCAAGCATTATGAAACACATGTCTAGCACTGAAAATAAGAATCAACAAAACGTTTCAGCTTCTCACAATGTGACTCGAGAACACTACCAGAGAAATCTTATTGTAATCTTATTGTACAACTCATTTCAATTCAGTTTCTCCCCCCATCTTCATCCTCCAAACTTTTTCCTTTTTAGAAGCAAAAACAGAAGCCTTACCAAGGCCCAGGTTGATGTAATGCTCTGCCGTAACTAGCTGGAAACTGGCTGTTTCTGTTAAGGGGAAGGGTGTCCTAAAGGAACTCTGCAGAGGCTTGTGGACTCCACCCCCTACTCCAGCTTTCTGGACTCTACCACCTACTTCAGTGACTGGAAACTACAACTCCCAGCAGTACCAGGGAGAGAGCTGTGAGGACGCAAGGGTAGAGCTAAGAAGGAATTCTGGGACATTGGGGGGGATACATAGGGCGCCATTGTGTCTCTTGCTCTCTCGCTTAGGAAACAGCTCTCCAGACCGCATGACTATGGACTTTCAATTAGTTTGTTACCAGAGCTCCAAGTCAGCTAGCTGGTAAGATATTCCATTGTTGTTTCCTTTTCTTTTCCCCTTTTGTAAATCCATTCTGACCCTTTTGTGTGTGCCTGCAGTATAATTGCATTTTTAGCACGTGGGTGAGGCCCCCACAGACAGGTGGCCCGGTTCACACTGGGTGCTCTTTAACATTTCCACGGTGAAAAAGACACCTCAGGCTCCATTTCTTTATACTGTACTAAAAATTATTTTTGAATGAAATATGCTCTATAATAACTTCACAGTTTTTCCTTTAATCTTTATCTAAATATTTGATAATGACCATGGAACCATGGGTTTCCAATAGCTTTATCTTAATTTGGGCTTTCAGTGATGATATGTAAGTCTTTTCTTGGGACATCCTGGCATAAATGACACGATGAACTCATCATTTGGACTTAGTTTTCTATTTTCAGATATTTTTATGCAATAGATATGTAAAAGCAAGTAGTAATAATAGCTTAGTGCTTACTGAATAATTTTGATTAGAGAAATCTGGTGAGCATGTAATTCTTACTGCAATATTCTTTACTTGATTTTAATTTTCCTATCTTCAGTGATTTCAAAACATTCCTATACATTAGGTTTTTTTTTTAATAATATATATTTTTTACATCATTTTGTGCATTTTTCTATCTCAGTTGTAATCTCCGTGGGCTTCCCATCACCAAATCACCTAAGTGCCATCACCATAGTCCAGTGCATTTCCCTCCCCCCACTGTTTTTGATCCCATTCCCCACTCCACCCCCATAAAATGTCTCTGGTATATAGCTGTTCATTATTATCATTATTTTCTCGCCTGGTCTGTTATACTCCTACTATGAGCAGAACCATCCGGTATTTTTCCTTTTCTTTCTGCCTTATTTCACTAAGCATGGTCTTTCAGCTCCATCCATGTTGCTGCAAAAGGCATATGTTTATTTTTTTGGTTGCTGAGTAATATTCCATTGTGTATATGTACCACATCTTACTAATCCAGTCATCTACTCTTGGGCATTTGGGCTGTTTCCATGTCTTTCCTACATTGGAATTTTTAAAAGAATTTCTAAATGAATATAGATTTCTCTTTAGTTTATAGATCCAAACCAAACTGCTAGGGAAAAAAAAATAAAACAAAACTACAATATCTAAAACAATTTCATGTCTAAGAATAATTCCAGATTGTTTCATGCATATGTACAATACAGAGAAACAAAACAATGGATAAAAACAAAACAAACAAACACAAAAAAAGCAAATCCTCAAAATCTGATTGCAAAATTGAGAAAGTTAGAGGGGATCAGGAAAGCAGAGAGGAAAGGAAGGAGGGAGTCCAGTGACTTTGGTTGAAGATGATGGGTGATCTGTGGTTTTGGTGTGGAAACATCATTTAAAGAGATTGAACCTATACCTCTAAATCACATACAGAGTTATCAGTCAATATTAATCAATTTAAATCATAATTAAAATAAAAATGTTAAATGTAAAATAAAAATAGATACCAAATTATATCTTAGTTAACATGAGACAATTCTTTCAAAATCTATACATATTTCAAACCATGTTGTATACTTTCAATGTCTTACACTTTGATTTATCAAATTATGCTTTAATACAACAGAAAAAAAGAAATAATTCTCCCAAAGAAATAATACTGAACTGAAATAATACTGCAATGAAGTACATTTATGGTTTAATAGAAGAGAAATTTATGAGAGAGTTTATTCATAGCCAACACCAAAGATACTGTTACCACCCACCACCTCTGAGTTTGGCCTCTATTTCTTTGAGTTACATGTGTAGAAATAATATATCTGGTGAATTTCAAACATTTCCAGAAAGACAAATACAATATGATCTCATTTATGTGCAATCCAAAAAAGAAAAAACAACCAAAGCCAAATTCACAGAATTAGAAAACAGGTTGGATGCTGCCAGAGGAAAGGATAATAAGGGTAGAAGTGGGAAGGAGGCAAACAAAAATGGTGGAAGTGGCCAAAAATTACAGATTTGGGATAATAAGATAAGTCATGGGAATATAGTATGCAGCATGGTGACATGAGGGCAAGAAACCTTAGTTAGGTATCTCTTGCACTCAATATACTACGTGAGGTGCTGTAGGGAGTAAAATAAAAGTTAAGACTAGATCACAGGTGAATTTATATGATATGACTACTTAAAAATTATAATAAAGCCAACTTTCAGATTTCTACTGTCACAAGAGTAGAACTGATATGTGCTAGAGTTTGAGATCACACATTGTCACAGAGACCAGGAAGACTCATGAAAATAGTGCCCTGGCCAAAAACAAGAAAATGGGCAAGGTTTCTACAGAGTGTGGTAGGGAGTGATGCAACTTGGTTGACTTCAAGAGAAGAACGACGTAGCTGTGGGCTGTAGGGCTTAGTGATGAACAAGGCTCCACTCGTGGGTGGGAACATATTGGACTTCAGGTTTAATAGCTAATGTTTGTCACACTTCTTGCAAAGTATCCACCTGCACAATTATTATTTCTATGACCGCCACAGCCATCTAAGAGGTAGCCCATCACTCATACTTTACAAATGAGGGCACATAAGGAAAGTCAGATTGAAGGAGTGTTGTTGAGGGTGAGACCAAAGACTATGGTGGCTAGGGGCAGGGATCCTGGAGTCATAGGTTCAAATCCTACCTGACTCATCTAGTAATGACCTTAACAAATCTCCCATCCTCTCCATGGCTTGTTATCCTCACTGAGAAAAATGGGTTGAAAAAATAATTTCTTCAGTGAACATTGAGTTAATAGATGTAAAATTTTAAATAGTGCTTGGCAAATGGTAAAAGCTACTAGCTTGAACAATTTAAAATTATTGCTTTTGTAGATCAGATATTGACAATTTCGAATTTTACTGTCTAATAGCTAGTATTTATTTAGAAGACAAATGGAAGCAATTGGAGGACATTGCCCTAATGTTATCTTATTCCTCTCTTTCTTTTTGCAAGAAGATATCAAGAAAATAGTTATTCTTGCCATCTTTTCTACTTTATCAGCTGCCTTGCAGATGGCCCTCTTACTCCTGCTGTTCCTGAAAATTGCCAACAACTCTAAACAAAATTCTGTAGTAACATAATTAAATATTTCACACACCTAACAGATAATAAACTGTACTCTCCTATTAGGGAACACCATATGGAAAAGAGTCTACATTTCATCAGCACTGGATCAGATTTGCATAATCTATACATCTACAAAATTAAAATATTTCAGATAATTTTACATATTACTTTATCATTCATTCATTAATTCAATCCGTTATTCAACTGATTTTCATTACACACATTGCACATAGACACAATATTAAATACAGCAAAACACAAAGATGAAAGTTACAGTCCCCCTACCATTAATAAGTATAACATATCATCTACAATGGAACTAATTTAACTGGTAGTGAAATATTTAGACCACCAAAACAAAGATAAATGGTTTTTGACAAAAGTTTATAGCTCTGTGCTATACAAAGATGACTCTAAAGAGAACATATTTGCTCAGAAATTGTATTAGTTATCTATGCCTACATAACAAACTATACTATAATTTAGCAGCATGCCATAACAAACACTTATCTCACATAGTATGCAAAGCACAAAAATGCAGGAACGATTTAGCTGGGTTTTCAGAGTCTTCTCTTTGATTCTGTTCCTGCCTTGTAGACTTTTCCCTGGGGCTACTCAGCAATGGCAGTTGGGTCTCCCAGGCCAGGGAGCCAAGAGAAAGCATAAGGAAAATGTCATGGTACTTTTATGACCTAGTTTCCAAATTCATATGCTGCCATTTCTGCTTTATTCTATTCATTTGAGTAGAGTAATTAATGTCCAGTCCACTTGCAAGGTGAGAGAGATTGGACTCCACCATTTTAATGGAGGAATGCCAAAGACTTCATGGGTATATTTTGAAACTTTAACAGAAGTGATAATAGTATATCATTTTAAAAAGTTTTTGTATAGTAGAATTCAGTGCTTGCATGGACTGACATTTTTGCTTGTAACTTTTAAATCAAAATTTTTCTGTTTCCTGATTTAAAAACTGACATGTTCATTTAGAATATTTAATAATCATAGGATAAAACATGACTAACCCATAATTCTACTATCACATTTAACATGTTTATTTGTGAGTGTGTATGTACATTTATTAGCATACACACATTGGAAAACATTTCATGGTTAATAAATACTTTGAGATACTTTGTATTATTTCAATGTGCATTGTGTAATTTACTCCTTTAATTAAATTTCGTTGGAAAATTCTAAAACCCCATAACATTCTAATGTAAAAGGTTTCTTTCCATGTTTAATTTTTTAAGTTTTTGAACATTTAAGGTAGAAGAGGAAAAAAGGAAGTAATTTTAATCAATAATTACCTTTACATGTCTTTTTCTCTTAGATTATTTCAGTATAAGATCCTACAAGTAAAACTATAGGGTGAATTTACTACTAACTTGCATTCAAGAAAAGATACATTCATTTGTATTAACAGTAGTTTGACCCCACCCCATTGTAATTTGTTGTATACTCAGTATCTTTCTTAATATTTGTTAATGTATTAGACCAAAATGTGTATTTCTATTATCTTTATGTTTTGTTGATATGACAGTTATTTTATTGCCACTCAGCTTTAAATTCATGCAGCTGTTGGTTCCTCGAGCAATTATATAAACTTTTTAAATGTATTTTCTTCACGTCTTGCATGATGCTATATTTTGTCAGTAGAGGGCGCCAGAGAAACGTTATGGAAGGAAGTTGGTCTTCATAGAATTCTTTGAAAGGCGCTCCTGGGAAGTCCTTGCCTTTTTTCCTTCACTGCTTTGGTCTGAGCGGCCTATCAGTCTTAGAGTTGGTAGGATGCTGTTTTCTCTAGCAGTTGTTCTCTGCCCTCTTCTTTTGATTTAGCGAGGGACGGCACTGCAGAGAGCCCCAGTGCAGACCTCTGCCCTAGCTCAAGTCACTGCTCTCTCTACCTTCTCACCTTGAGAGAAGGTGAGAGACCCCAAACTTCGTTCACTGCAGACCTCCAGAAACAGACACTGTGGTATCTGGGGCTTCTACCTCCAGGAGACCCCTAAATCTCTTTGCCCATCTGCTTCCTACTTCAGCTGGACTAACCAGAGGGTTGTTACACTTGCCACACAACTGTCTCTGCCATAGTCTGAGCCATCCAGCAAACATCTGTACCTACCAGATCACAATCACATGATCTTCACTGGATTCTGAACTCCTCATTTTAAGATTTTCCTTTCTAGGTTCTGTCCCTCACCTTGAAGTTACCCTTTAGATGTCTCTTGGTCCAGCTTTTATTGCTTTCCCACTACAGCTTAATAATTCTTTATATTAAACTTCCCATGTAAGTTATTATACTATTTCTGTCTCCTGATTGGGCATAGACTTATGCAGTTGATCACTGTTATAAATTTATTTTTCACATAAAGAATTTATATTTCTTTTGTGATTTCACTTTTTGTGTCATCTGACTCAATACTCCCCACCCCACCAATGTTTGGTAATTTTCTTACTTATTTTGTAGTTTTTCATACATTCAAGATTAGTTTTTTTTGTCATATATATGTCAGGCACTTGTCATTTCTTTAAATTGAGATACATTTGCTTATTTTAGTAAGAGGAAATTATTTTCTAAAATTGATAAAGGATAAAGATGGGAACCTCTGTTTTACTCAAAAGACTTCCTAGAACTGAAATGATCACAGCATAATTTAATTTTTGTTCAGTTTAGGTTTTGGTGACATGAAAATTAATATACTTGCCTTAAATATGTGTCCTACTTCAATTCTGATATTGTTCCAACTGAGTTTATTACATACAAACTTATCACTTAGTATATGTAATATATCAAACAATTTAATACAATATTTATGAGAAATACATAAGATAATGGGGAGAATGTTGCATAAAACTACATTTTAATAAAGAGTTCACAAATAAAATCATAAATAATATATATGGCATTTTCAGTATTTTTTCAAATTGGCATAGCTTACTATAAGTACTTTGAGAGTTGTCCTGTAGAATGAGTTGTACTAGAGAAAAAGTACAGAGCTTCTAATTCCTTGATAACTCAGCTATAATAGCTTTGTGTTATCTTATCCACACAGCAATAAATGATTATTGAAGCCTAAGCCTTATCGTAATTGGTGAAGTATATTAAATGGCATAAATATTGGGGAAAATAAAATTAGTTGCTACAATCACACTTTCTTCATTGAATCATATGGTATATATGTTTGGAAAGTACAATTAGTTCAAGTGACTTTAAAAAAGAGTTTAATAATACTTTTGAAATAAGAAGTTCCCATGTTGAAAAAACTACAGTTTGAATTGTTTAACAGAATCCATAATCTTTTCCATCCCAAAAGGCAGAGAACTCTGATGTTACAGATGACCAACAGTCCCTATTCATATAAAGATCTAGATTTTATGAAAATGTTAGAATTTTCAGGGAGCTATAAAACATCTGTCACCACCAGAGAGGAAAGTATGTACTTTTTATTTTAAGAGTTGGTAGATTTTACTTTTGAATCATTTTTGAGAGTTGGTTGATGGTATTTTAGTTCTTTTGACAGATCAAGCTAAAAGAAGTTTAAACTGTTTGATATATGAAGATGCTATTCAAGTTCATTGAGCATTTTGCTGTGAAAACTATTTGGAATACATGGTATCCAAGATTATTTCAGTTACTGAAATAAATGCCAGCTCATTTCAGTCCAACTTTGAACCCTTGTTAATGCTATCACTTCAAAGAGAGACAAGCTTTTCAACATTCATTTTTCTACAGATTCTAGTTCACATATGTATTTCAACTTTCTGTAGGTTCAAGTATAGGATGCATGCACTAATCAAATAGAAACATCTCTCTAATTTTGAAGTGTTTCAGAAACAATGAGTTGTGCACTAAACAGTTGTCTCTGTTCTTACTACATATTTACTTTGAAGACAATGCAGTATAAACGCCTTTTCATTTTTGAACCTGAAAATGAGAAAAAGAAGGGGAGAAAGAGTATTAAAAATTGGACATATTTTTTACATGAAAGGACCAAGAACCCAGGTTACATGCTTTTGACTTACTTGGATTTTGTTCTTTGAATCTCTCTTCTTTCTTCTTCATTTAGTCTTTGAAGGATTGATTCCAGGAGAGAAAAATGAAAATTAATGTACTGAGCCACCTGAGAAGAAAAAACAAAACAAACTAAACATGAAAGTAGAGCAGTTATGTGACAGGTGCTGAGTGAGGAGAAGCAAAGGCTGGAATCCATACATCACTGCTAATTTCTTCTGTATCTTTATCCATGAGGAAAATTTGGGCATTCACTTTGGAAGGTCCCTGGATCAGCCTGTGCAGGAGGGGAATGTCTGTCTTCTTCAGTCGTTTCTGTTCTGAAAATAAAAACAAGATCAACTTCAACCATGAGTCCATTCTAGAGAAAAAAAAGAATCATAACTTGTGCATTTAATTTCTTTCTTTAGTTTCTTTTTACTTTACTTTCTTTTAACAGAAAGATCTAATTAAAAAAAAAAACTCAAAACCTAACAAGAGGTACTCACTTTAAAAGTTGGAGTTAGGGGCCCTTCCTGGTGGCGCAGCAGGTTAAAACACATCTAAAAGCCACTTCAGCATGAGTTCGATCCCTGCCCCGGAAGTGACCCACATGGCATGGCAGACCATACTTGATCTACGTGTTCTGCTCTCCACTGTCTTTGGTGAATCCTCTCACTGCCCCTGCACCTCTGGCCTGTAACCCAGTTCTGTATGCATAAATAAATAAATCTTAAAAAAAAAGTTGGAGTTAAAAACCTTTAAACTAAAAATAGATTTCATTTTCTTTTGCTAGCCTCAAAGGTTCACTCTAGCTGTATCTCAGAGAATTCGATCTTCTTTTTGGTGAGTGAACTCTAACAAATTTCCAGACCCATTTACGCCCATGATCATAATTTTTCATTCTTTTATTAAAAAAAATTGGTTCTTTCCTAGCTTGGTTAATAGGATTCAGTCTTTCCAGTTGTTCAGGTCCAAAACTTTGTCATTATTTAAAATTCTTTCTTTTTCTTTCCTCTGATATTCAATCCTTGGTTCTTTCTTATTAGAATGTTTTTGACATTGGCAGGTTGGTATTTTTATTATTTCATCTATTTGTGGGATGCATTCATTCAGCCATGATAATGGGAGCTTATTATATACATCTGTAGGCATCTTGCACTTTTCATTGAATATGTACATTGCTATGGAATGCCCTCCTTTCAAAGGCATAAATCTAACTCATTCAATTTAATGACTGCATTCAATTCACTCCTTCCCCTATAATAGGTGACTTTGTCTTTATTTTTTTTGTCATTGCACAAAAACCTATAGGCACTAGTCTTTTGTTGTTTTATTTGTAAATTTGATTCTCATTAGGGGATGATTTGGCTGAAGGATATAGGTATATTGCAAATTATAGTAAATATTGCTAGAAGGAGTTGCAAAAAAGCAGACAATTATGTTTTCACTAGAATTGAATAAAAATATCTTTTTATTCTTATCTGTAACTGTCCACACAATCATTCAAAATGTTTTGCCAGTCTGACTAAATGCAAGATAATACTGCATTGTCCCTTGAATTTGCATCTCCCAGGATACTTTATTTCCTTGAGTTTAATGCTTCTCCTAAAAAGATTTACTGATTATTTTAATTTGTGAGTCTTTGAATTGCTTTATCATACTTTTTCCTATTTTTGTTGCATTGGTCATCATTTTGTTACCTTTATGCAAGAAATCTGACAATGTAGATAATTTTTATCTGTATTCTTCGCAATCTACTTATAGTAGAGATATGTACATATCCAGATGTGGGTATGTGTACTTATCTGTGTGTGTGTGTATATATCTATATATATAGTATTATATATATATAATTTTTTTTTAAATTCTAAAGGATATCCTTTAGAATTCTCAAAAATGTATATATTTCTTACAGAAGGTTTTCAATTTATAAGTACTTTAATATTGTCTATTTGGATTTCCAGCTTTCATTTTCTGGCATCAAAATGTATTATTATTCAATTCAATTTCTGTGCTCAAACATTCTGACACAAATTACAACCTAATTACTACTACAATTAAACATTCAAGTTTTTTCTTTAAAGATTTATTTATTTGTGCATACAGAACTGGGGTGCAGGCCAGAGGCTCTGGGGCAGTGAGAGGCTTCACCAGAGACAGAGTGGGGAACAGAACAGGCAGATCGACGAAGTACACTGCTGAGGGGAGCAGTAGGTGGGTCAGGAGAGGTCTGCCACACCATGTGGTCACCTTCGGGGCAGGCGGGAATCGAACTCATGAGGGAACTCATAGATTCTCAGTGCTGTGCTTTAACCTGCTGCGCCACCATGGAGAGCCCAAGTTTTTTCAATTTTAATTCAATTTTAATTCAATTTTAATTTTGGCATTGCCTTAGGTTTTCTCTATACTCTCTTTCATTCTCTGTCTCCTCCAACCTGCATGTATTGCTTTCCCAGTATCCAACTTCTAATCTTTCAGTTCCACCACCAAGTTATGAATGTTTTGTTTACTGAGGAGGTCACATGCCTAACAGTTTGCTGAACCCTGCTAAGAAAGACGCAGCAACAAGCTCAGAGAAAGGTAAACAATTATCACTCCAGTAAGAGTTGAGGTGTGAAAGGAAAGCCAAAATGGAAGAAGTACAGAAGTCAGTAAATCACAGCAATTCCTGAAACCCTCACTGGGTTCTCAAGTGCTCTGATAGCAATTCAGATAATTTAATGTCTGGTCAGCAGAGTCTTTTATGTTATAAACTCTCCTGGGATCCTTTATTCTCAAGGTTGTTCTAAACATTCCCTCTTATCCTTCTTCCCCTTCTTCTACAGAATGAGGTAAACTATTTTTGGTTTTTCTGTGGTAAGAAAACAGTAACACAATGGGTCATGGGAAGAGGGTGATCAAACCTTCTTACCTCCTGTTGCAAAAATAATGTAAAGTGCAAAATCCTGGGCGCTATTTTCGATCTGTCAATAGAATAAATGAATAGACGTGAATTCCTTGTTGTCATAAGATGCTTTCTAAGCTTGCCAAATTATGTGTGTGTTTCCTCACTTCCATTTTTCACTTTCAGACATAAAACCCAGGAATAATACAATGTCTCAGGGCATAATTACTGAAAGTTGTACTACTTTACATATTTGTAGGTCTATTTCAGAGGACATATAGGTCCACAGACATATATGTGTCTACAGTTAAATTATATGCCAGATATATATTTATATAGATCAGGTTAAAGATTACCTTAAATTTTTTTAGAAGTTGTTTTATTACTTCTTCAGTATTCATATTACTGTTTACTCTGACCTTAGTTTCTGATCCAAAGACTGGAGTGAAAATTGATGTCTAGGAAAAAAAAAAAAAGATTGTTATTTAAGTCTTTAAAATTATATCAAAGTAACAAGGCCAGGTCTTGAACCTGACCTTCTTATGGGCAACTAAATCAGAATTACAACTTAAAAGTGATCCTATTTTTGCTTTGTTGTTATGATTTTAGACTAAGTTAGATAAAAATATCAGTAAATATATATTTCACAACGAAGATATACAGATGGCCAGATGTATTGAAAGGTGTTTATCATCACATCATGAGAGAAAATACAAATCAAACCCACAATGAAATATTACCCCACCCCACTTAGAGTATTATCAAAAAGAAAAGAAGTGTTGAAAAATATGTACCCAAAAAAATGTATAAACTGGTGATGGAAATATAAATTTGTGTAATCTAAGGAAAACAACATGAAGATTTCTCAAAAATTTAAGAATAGACATACATGACCCAGATATTCCACTTCTGGATATTTATTGGAACAATACAAAACTAATTCAAAAAGATATATATATATACACCTTTATATTCATTGCTATTTTATTCACAATAGGTAAAATATGGAAACAGTCTAAGTATCCACCTAAGAATGAGTAGATAAAAAATATGATATAGAGAGCTTAGGAAGATGATAAACACACACACACAGGAATGAGCTTTAACTATTGAAAAAAGATGAAATCCTGCCATTTGATACTGCATGAATGGACCTTGAAGGGATTATGCTAAATGAAATCAGCCAGCTAGAGAAGACAGATGGCATGTCATCTCACTCACATGGAATATAAAGAAACAAAGGAACAAATGAAACAAAGCAAACTTACTTTGTGCTAGGTGCTGTGCTAAATGCTTACTCACCTAATTTCATTTAATTCCAATAATAATCTTGTAAAGTAGGAAGGATGAATGAATCCAGGCTAAGAGACTGAATAATTTTATAACGCTTTCAACAAGAATTTAAATCAGGGGCCCTCTCCAAGACCTATGCACTAATCAGTTAGCCACCATATTGTCAACAAATTGACAATTTACTTCTTAGCATAAGGATCCACCTGCAAGCTGCTCACTGGGAAGAACATGGCTTCCACAGCTTCTTTACACATCACCCCATGATGTAATGACATATAGCATAATTCTGAGAAGAAATTAGGACAATTGACATTTGCACATCTGTAGAAGACTGCCCATGTTACTTTATTGTCAGGAGGAAATTTTTGAGTCAGATAAACATCTAATTTGAATCAAGAATTCAGAAAGGAGATTTCTCCCCAGCACTACAGATATACTCCCCCAAACAGGAAAAAAAAAAAAAGAGCAATGAATTCATATTTTCTATTAAAGGACTTAGCATAGATCTTGGCATGGAGTAAGTGCTTTTAAAATATTTATTAAGTGAATGGTTGAATGACTGTTAAGTTATATGACATGAAAAATTTTAGACTCTAGAAAAAAGGTTTTCCTATCTTCAGCAAAGTGGACTATCTCACAAATACTATACAGATGCACATGTAAATATAAAATATACTAAATATAAAACATCAGAAATCAAATTATGCCAACTATACAAAAAACAGACATTGGGCCCTCCCTGATGGCACAACAGGTTAAAGTACAGCAGTGAAGCTCACTGCAGCCCTCACAGCCGCCTCAGCATGAGTTCTATCCCTGGCCAGGGCAGTGACCCACATGGCGTGGCAGACCTCTCCTGACCCGCCCGCTGCTCCCCTCAGCAGTGTACCTCATCGATCTGCCTGTTCTGCTCCCCTCTCTGTCTCTGGTGAATCCTCTCACCATCCCTGCACCTCTGGCCTATACCCAGTTCTGTATGCATAAATAAAATCTTTAAAAAAAAAAAATTGGGCCTCCCTGGTGGTTCAAGGGAGCACTATGAAGCTATCCACAGCTACTGCAGCATAAGTTCAATCCCCAGCCACTGAGCTGACCCACATGGCACAGCAGACCTCTTCTGTCTCCCTAGTTGCTCCTCTCAGCAGTGTGTTTCACTCCATCCACTTGTTCTGTCCCCTATTCTGTCTCTGGTGAGCCCTCTCACCCTCCACACCTCTGACCTATGCCCCAGTTGTTGTATACATAAATAAATAAATCTTTAAAAAATTTATGTACAAAAACTGAAAGGGGCTGTGACAAAATGAGAAATTTCACTTGCTGGACTAAATATGGCTATGACTTCTTTTTTCTTTCATTTAAGTGTTAATGTTCAATGGTGTTATGGACCAGCATCTCTTGTAGCACTTATTTGATGCCATTTGCCATTATATTGCATTTTTTATCCAAGCCCTGAGCTCGATGGTAGCACACACATCTAATGAGTTATCTTTATGTTTCCAATGCTTGGTACAGGGTCTGTCATTTAAAATTCGCCCATCATGTTAGTTGTTGGTTAAAAACTCAGATTTTTGTTATTAGACATGCCAGAGTTCAAGTTCAGAGTTGTTGTTTAAAAGCAGTGTGACCTAAGACAAAATGTCGGTGAACCTCAACTCGTATTTAAAGTTGTACAACTAGTGGTATCTACTTCATAGGACCGTTTTAGTGAATAAGATAATTCATCAAAAATTAATAGCTTAGTATCCAACATATAGAGGAGTCAATGAGCATTAGACATACTATTACTATTTTCATTTATTTATTTATTTATTTTATTTTATTTTTTAAAATTTATTTATTTGTGCATACAGAACTGGGGTACAGGCCAGAGGCTCAGGGGCGGCGAGAGGCTTCACCAGAGACAGAGTGGGGAGCAGAACAGGCAGATCGAGGAAGTACACTGCTGAGGGGAGCAGCGGGTGGGTCAGGAGAGGTCTGCCACGCCATGTGGTCACCTCGGGGGTAGGCGGGAATCGAACTCATGCGGAAGCGGCTTTATATTCTCAGTGCTGTGCTTCAACCCGCTGCGCCACCAGGGAGGGCCTATTTTCATTTATTTTTAAAGATTTATTTGTGCATACAGAACTGGGGTACAGGCTTGAGGTGCAGAGGTGAAGGGATTCACCAGAATGGGGAGCAGAACAGGCAGATGTATTGAAATACACTGCTGAAGGGAGCAGCAGGTGGGTCAGGAGAGGTCTGCCACGCCATGTGGATCACCTCCCTGCCTGGGGATCGAACTCATCCTGCAGTGGCTGTGGAGAGCTTCATAGTGCTGTGCTTTAAATCCCTTGTGCCACCAGGGAGGGCCCTCATTTATTTATTTTTAAAAGATTTATTTATTTTTACATACGAACTAGTGTGTAGGGCAGAGGTATGGGGGATGAGAGGATTCACCAGAGACAGAGTGGGGAGCAGAACAGGCAGTGATGAAGTCCACTGCTGAGGGGAGCAGCGGGCGGGCCAGGAGAAGCCTGCTGCGTCATGTGGGTCACCTCCCTGGCTGGGGATCGAACTCATCCTGCAGTGGCTGTGGAGAGCTTCATAGTGTTGTGCTTTAAGCCCTTGTGCTACTAGTGAGGCCCTATTTTTACTATTTTTAAATGTAAGCTGAATTGAGTCATATCATTAGCAAAAGGGATGCTATTTGAAATGGCAATGGAATTATACTCACTTCATGGTTATAAAAGTGTCCATTAATAGAGGCCCTATGGTTTTGTCTGTCTTTTCTGTCCATCATTATAGGCTTCATGCTTTTTCCCACGAGGGTTGCTTCACTCATGGTTCTATAGAGCAGTGGGGATTCTGGCTCTTCTTCTGCATGAGGCTTCAGAGTGTTGCTGTGATAAAATAAATAATCTGGGAAGAATAAAGATTATAAACGAGCATGATTCAGCTGCCCACCTCTGTGCCTCATGGGTGGATTTGTAAGGTGTTTAACAAGTAAATATGTAACTAAGCAATGGCTAATAATGATTTTAAACACTGAGAAAACAACAATGTTCCCGTGTGAGAACAGAGCCCTCTGGTGGGATTTGTGCTCCACTTTACCCTGGACTTGAAATAATTTTCTATTGTAATTCGAGTATCGTCAAACAGGCACAAGATATTTCATCTTTCTCCAGCACAAGACCTTAAGTACAAATGGGTTTTTATGATATGTTTAGTGTCAAAATATTGGCATTTCCCTCCACTTAAAGCAGTATTTTTGAAGAATTAATAGGAAGGATTATTATATAAAATATATTAAAAGCTGTAAGACAAAGATAAGGTTGTCTTGGAAGGGACATCATGTTAGTTATAGAATGGACATTATAAATTACCAGAGGTCGAACTAAGAATGGTTTGAAAAAAAGATAACAGGCCATTGGGAGTTGTAGATTCATGCAACTCAAGTCAGCAGGATCCCCTTGCTCAGTCTGAACCCCGCTTGGTAATATCACACCCCAGAAACTGAACCCCCCATCCCAATCTCAGTATTCAGCTACTTCTGGGCTGCTATACATTATATGAAAATCAACTTGTAAATACATGTAAAATTCAAGATTCCATGCCTCCTAGTTAGTGTTTTGGCAAATAAAACTTGTAACTTCATTATTATGCAGTGCACCATCATTGTTATAACTACAAATATCACATATCATAGGAAGTAGCTTTGTTCATTGGTTAGCTATGTTTGATGCTCACATGCTGTTCTGGCAGATTTCTTTTAAGTAAATGCCTGAAGCAACTCCATCAAATATAGTGACTCCAATATCTCTGCCTCTCTCTGAGAAGCAATGTCATAAATATTTATTGACTGAAATGCATTTATTGTTGAATTAGAAAATCAGAGTGGGAACATGGAGGTTATTTAAATTTATGTATGATTGCTCACAATTATGCAATATTGTTAGTAAGTTAAATTGAAGAAGAATGAGGTATATTTTATCTATTATATTCATACTGGTAAATGTATTGCTTTTTTTAAAAAAAAGATTTATTTATGCATACAGAACTGGGGTACAGGCCAGAGGTGCAGGAGTGGTGAAAGGATTCACCAGAGACAGAGCGGGGAGCAGAACAGGCTGACTGACAAAGTACACTGCTGAGGGGAGCAGCGGGCGGGTCAGGAGAGGTCTGCCTCGCCATGTGGGTCACTTGTGGGGCAGGTGGGGGTTGAACTCCTGCAGAAGTGGCTTTAGCTTCTTAGTGCAGTGCTTTAACCCACTGCGCCACCAGGGAGGGCCCTGTATTGCTTTTTAACAGAAACAATTATTTCCATGTGCTTACCAGTGCTGAATCTGCTCCTAATCTTTCAATTGTAGTGAATGTTTCTCTTGAGGCTTGAAATGACTCCTAATTTTCTGATTTCTACTCAGTTCCCTGGAGCTTCAAGATCAGCCTTAATACTTAGATTCTGAGGATGAACCTCTCATTCAGTGGATCTTGATTTATTTCATAAACAGACTCGAGTGGGGCTCTGTTGAAATATGTGGCTCTTATCTTTCCTTCTCTTCTCCCCTCCCTACCATCATCCCCCACAAACCTTTGCCAGCTCCCACCCAGCTCTCCTTCTTTGTGGTAGGCCTGAGACATAGACTCAGCCTTAACTAGTCCCCCAGATCAAAGGGGTTTTCATATATGTTTTTAATTAAAAACTTTCTGCGTGGTCTCAGGATTTTACTGGCACATTTGCTTTTCATGGAGAAGACTTAGTTGTTTCCCTTAATTTCTGAAAACAAATCACTAAAAATATGGTTTCTACTGGATACAGTGGTTTTATAGCAGTAAAAGACTCCAGAGTGTCTTTTTTTTTTTTTTTTTTTAACATATTACCATAAGCAGAACCACAATGAAGTCTGGGTTATTATGTCGATACTTTTTGAACCAACCATGTATTGTTAGAGCACTTATATGTTGGAAGGTTAAGAATGTTGAGATATTTAATTCCATAAAAAGTGATGATATGTACTAATGACCAATCAATATTGCTAGAATTAGTTATTTCACATGGCTTAGAGTAAGCTCTAAGTAGTTACTTATTCATCTGTTTTCCCCACCTGAATAAATCTGCTTGGTAAGAGAGAATGTTTTACTGATCTTTGTATTTGCAGTGTCCAACACAGAACACAGTACAGTACTAAGTATCCAGAAAAATGTCTATGAGATGAATGTATACATTTATCCCTGGCATTGCAGTTGCATAATTATATGAGATTTTGAGAATTGAATTTATTTTGTTTTACTAATGTAAACATTGTTCTACTGAGTGTCTTGGTGACCTGTGTCTGAGAAGCTTTGACAATAAATAGCTCCCTACAGTAGCCTAAAGTTTTAGTTAAATAAAAAAACCCAGCTTTTCTGATAAAAAGAACAGAAGAAAAATAAAGCCTGCGAGTCCTGGCTAACAAAATAAGCTATTGGGTATAATAAATGATCCCAAACCTTGGGGAAAATATTGAACTATTTTATATCTAAAAATGTTATTTAAATGCTGTAAAATATTAAATTTCAGAGACATTAAATTTCTCCCCATTAATAAGACTTTGGTACTAACCTTCCTGGGAATTTGTTGCTTCAGACACTGGAATATGGATCCTATCCAATTCACTGATATGATAAAGATCATCAAATTCCCCCCAGCGTGTCATTCTCCTGAAAAGTAAAACATCTTGTAAGTGACATGCATGATTAAGCCTATGATGGCTTTCAGATTCACAATATTAATATTAGCACTGTGGACCTATGTAGGTAGACATAGCACCCTAAATTATAACAATCTTATGATAGTATCAAAAATAATATATCAGAATTGTCAGCATGTGTTTATTTATTTATTTTTTAAAGATTTTACTTCTATTTATGCATACAAGGGCTGCGGTTTAGGCCAGAGGTGTCTAGGGATGGTGAAGAGATTCACCAGAGACAGACTTAGGAGCTGAACAAGCAGATGGAGTGAAATACACTGCTGAGGGAAGCAGTGGGTGAAGCAGGTGAGGTCTGCTGGCCGTGTGGATCAGCACCCTGGCTCTTGCTGCAGTGGCTGGAAGTAGCTTCCTATTGCTAAGACTTAACCCCTTGAGCCACCAGGGAGGCCCCAGCATGTGTTTTAAATACTTTACTTGAATATATCTTGATAATGATGATTCAGTTACAAGCTAAAAAACAAGGTTAGATGATATGTAAATAGAATTAGTAGAAACCAACATAAAGCCATTGTTGTTCAGATATCTTAGGAAGCTCTGGGAGTATGGATACAAAAACTTTCATTTTACTAATATACATTGGGTTCCTTTTTGTACTCAAAGTAAAGTAGAGTGGCTCTAATAACTACGATACGTTGTGTATCTACTATGCAGAAAGCAATTGACACAGGAAGATAGAGTATAAGAGTTATCTTTGATAGGCTACTAGCCATTTCCAACACATTTTAATGCACACAATAAATAAAACTGAGCCACAGCTTATTTTTATCAGTTAGGCCAACAGTCATCTCTATTTGTATGGACTTGGACAAATTACTTGTCTTCTCTGTGCCTTAGTGTCCTTATACATAAAGTGAGGCCAACAATTATGAGGCTGGATAAGGTTGTTGAGAGGATTACAGGAGTTAATCTATATAAAATTCTTGAGACAGTACCCAATGAATACTAAGTAATTAAGATGTGTTAAAAATCATCATAGTCGGGCCCTCCCTGGTGGCGCAGTGGGTTAAAGCACAGCACTGGGAAGCTAAAGCCACTTCCGCATGAGTTCAATTCCTGCCTGCCCCGGAGGTGACCACGTGGTGTGGCAGACCTCTCCTGGCCCACCGGCTGCTTCCCTCAGCAGTGTACATCATCGATCTGCCTGTTCTGCTCCCCGCTCTGTCTCTGGTGAATCCTCTCACCCTCTGCATCTCTGGCCTGTACCCCAGTTCTGTATGAGTAAATAAATAAATCTTAAAAAAAAAATCATCATAGTCATCCTCATCTTCATTGTTATCCTCATCATAAACACCACCAGTATATCCATTTCAGGATGAGTCAGAAACCATTAGAGAGCCAAGGTATCTCTCTAGGCTAATGGATACTGTTGCTAGACAGTGTTAGCTCTCCCAAGAGTCTCCTTCATATCCTCTATCTTCCTTATAACTAAAAATATTCATCCATAGGAAATCTGTAGTATTATTGTACCCAGTGTCATGGGTAGTACAATTATGCTTGTCAATACTCGTGGTAATAGATATGAATAAACATGATCCTTTTCTTTCTTGCTCTTTGAATGCCTTTGAAGTCTTTTGACAACTTTAATACTATTTGAGCCTCACAATAACTTTATGAAGTAAATTAGACATACTTATCACAGGATCAATGGTATAGACACAATATCAACAAAAAGCAGAGCAAAGAGCAAAAAGCAACATGATATTCTTCTGATGGAGAAAGATGGTGACACTCAAGAAGGCCAGACCAGTGCTGCTGTGACCTAAGAGAACTGACACTGGCCTTCACTTTCTTACATTTCAGGGATGCCACATAATTTAGGGAGACAAACATGGTCAAAAGATAGTGTGTGAAGTCTTGCCTCTCTGCCATGATAGCAGAAAACAGCTCTGGATTATGTAATCTGAAGTGTTACCATACAACTGTGAACATGCTTAAGCTTGTGGGTAGTTACCCTCAGTTTTCAAAAGTAACTGGTGAGAACTTTATGCAATGTCAAATAGTTTTACGTGCCTAAGCAGGGATTGTTTGTATTGCTCTAACCAAATTTCAGGATGTATGTCATTAGGAAGTTTAAGCTACAGGGTGGTTTTCTAATGAGCTGCAAAATAAAAAGGAAGTGGAAATTTGATATACAAATAGAATGTGGTCACATGGAATGGGGTCACTTCTCTACCTGTACTATAAGAAAGGCAAAAGGCTATTGATGGTATTCAAATGTACACCTGTCCAGTTTCTGTGATGTCATTCTTCCATGAATTGCACAAAATGTGCCAAAGCAGACTTTGAAAAGACCTTACAAACAGAAATGAAAACTGGCACAAGCATACAAAACCTCAATAAGGCTTTTTATTTTTTTGTTTGAAAAGTTTCCAAAGCAAAATACTTGAACCAGATATGAGAACTCAAGGTCTGCCTACAGAATTGCTGCTATAAAAGATCCCAAGTGGTCACATCTTAAACAAACTGATTCAATTATAAGCTCTACCACTCCCATTAAACTGAGTCACTGTGACTCATCTCAAGATAAATAAAGTTACCACAACAAACTGAAGGTTCAAAGGTGACCTGAAAGACAAAACAGGATAGCCCTTCTGGCAGCTAAGTACAGAACTTCCACATCCTTTACTCTGCATCCTCTCACTAAAGACCTCAAATCTGTGATCTTGTAAAAGCAGAACTAGAGGTTATTCTCACAGAAATCCAGTATGGGGAAGGCGAAGACATGAGAGAAGTTTTTAATAGAAGGAGGGAAAAGTCCATTTTTTTACACAACTGCACTTGAAGCTCAGAATCTTAAAGATGGCAGCCAAAATGGGTGTTTAGGATTGGATTAAAACAAAGAATCACACCTTAACTGCCATAACCCACCAATAATCCAGAGACAAGGGGCATGCTTCACCTTCCTGCTCAGTGTGCAGCTGTTTCCCACAAAGGATTCTTGGTTAATTGAGAGAGAGAGAGAGAAAGGGAGAGGAAGGGAACTTTTACTGACAGTTCTCATCAGAATATCTGAAACACTGCAAGTGTGCATTTCAGATCAGCAAATAATGGTTTCAAGAGAATTCTCTTAGTGTTGAAGGAAATGATTCCTGTACAGATGAGCAAAAAAAAAAAAAAAAATGCAGATGGATTCTATGGAAGGCAGATTATCTGTATCAGTAAATGGAGAGGTGTCTTCCTGGGCTCTTGAAACTCACCCTCAGTTTCAGGATTTCTAGGATCGGGTGTTTTAGCTTTGAGTTTGAGAAGCTAAACAAGTATCTTGGAGTTGCTTTTCAAAATAATGTGGCTTAATATGATAATGCAAACACTTTACTGCATTTCCTTGACATCTTCCCATATATTCTATAATTATCAAGTTTTCATGAATGAACGAATTGAAATGTATCAAAAGGAGTTGACTGCTCAGAGAACTTTGATAAATGACAGCTAATTTTGCCAAATTCACAGTTTTTTTTTTTTGAAAGATTTATTTACCTATGCTTATAGAACTGGGGTACAGGCCAGAAGTGTGGTGGGTGAAAGACCTTCATAATGCGGCATTACCAGGGAGAGCCCCTCAAACAGTTTTTTAAAAGCAGGAATAATTTCATCTCTCAGGGATGCTCTCTGCCACTTCATATCATCAGCTCCAACAGTCCCCTAGAACCTGAAGTAAAGGATGCAAGGCCTCACAGAGCTGCCCAAGTCTATGGTCTCTCTTCTCCCCTTCTTACGTACTGGGTCCTTACCTACTAGTCCTTAGCATGAGTGGGAGACTAGTGAAAAGAAGTTTATTAATAGACAGAGCTCTTACAACAGAGCAGTGGTAACTTATCCACCAAATGCCTGGGAGCTTCATTTGACAGTATACTCTGAGTCTCTTCTTTGTGCCAGATACTGGGGTAACAAGGATGTTGTTGGAGTTGCTTTTCAAAATAATGTGGCTTAGTATGATAATGCAAACACTTTACTGCATTTCCTTGACATAAGGTACATTTCCTTCCACAGAAATGAGGATGCAGTCTAGATGGGGGATAGATGCATGAAGAAATATTAGGTGAGTGCTCTGAGAGTGATAAAGAACAGTGGTCAGTTCATGTAGTGTATAGGCTAGAGGGTCAGAGAGTTTTGTTGGAGATGGTGTTTTTGACCTAAACTTCAAAAGAATTAGTAAGAGTCAGGTGCATGAGAGGGTCGAGGCAGGTAAGTTTCCAAGAAAGTCAGAAAGTAAAACACTGCATGATTTGCATAGAGAATTCTACAAGGTGCTTAGTAAGATGATTTTTGAGGAAAATTGTCAAGGAACAAATCACAGTGGGGCTTCATTTAGCGTTTTCTCTACAGAAAAGCAGGGCTTCACTCAAGGTGATTCCTGGTTTTCCTTGGGGATGGCCAAAGGTAAGATGAGAGAAAGGAGCTGGCGATTCTCCAGCCTTTCTTTTATCTCCAGTCTCTCTACTTCTGGTGAAAGAATGGATAAAAAGAAGGCTTCTAATTCCCATATAGACATAAAATGGAGATGAGCTGGAGAATCCAGGATTAAAGAGGGAAAAGGGAGGAGAGAAGAAAATACCCAAAATTACACCTATAATCCCACATGTGAATATTACTTTTCTAAAAATTGAAAATAAAAGAACAAAAATCAACATAACTCGACTACACAGAGAACTGCTTGATGCATCTCTTGAGCTTCCAGGGCATTTTTCTGTGTTTTGCTGAATATAATCAGGATGATCATGTAAAGGCTCCAGAAAGTAAGAAGAGCTGTTCGTTTTAAGGGAGGAGAAGTTTAAATTTTATTCTCCCTTATTTGTGATCAGGCCAGAGCTATTTTGTTATGTCTTTTCTAACCAAGGTAAGCTGTCTTCCAGGAGAGGTTGAGAGCCCAGGCTTTGACAGGAAACCCAGCCTAGCCCTGCCAGTTAGCCACTGGGAAAGCTGCGCGAGTTACCTCGCCAGCGAGAGCCCTGGCTTCTGAACACATGAATCACAGAATTGCTGGGAAATCAAATGAAACTATGTATGAGCATGTATTAGCGACCCCAATAAAGGTATAGGAGGCATAATACAGGCAACATAGCTTCTAGGTGATTAAGAACATGAAGGAGAGCTTACCCTTTGCAAAAGACATCTGGTGACTTCAGCATAGGGATTTGCTTCTCATCTTGTATTTTCAGTTGTATTGGCCGTTTTACTCCCCAGCAAATATCCAGCATTCCTTCAACAACTGGACTACCATCTTCAGCCTAGGGGAGAAATCAATGGTTTCAACACTATTTTTGTATTATTTATAGAAGGTGAAGGCAGTAACTGAAGAGGCAGACCTTAAGTATGTAAGATAGCTTAATGGATAAAAATCATAAACTCTCAGGTAAGACTGTTTGGTTTTTTAACCTAGCTACAGAGTAATTCTACTTTAAAATAGACTTTTATTTTTGAAAACAGAAATAACCATAGCTATGATCACCACAGGGTGTAGTATGTGAAATGCTTTCTGAATTCTATGATGTCATTAAGTGGAAGTTTAATTCTCATATTCTGTTTAATTTTAAATTAAAGCAAAGTTGAAAACTGTACTAAACTAGAAATAAGAAAAATAGCAATAGAGAGATTTACTAGCTAGGCCCTCATTTCTGAACAGGAAACATTTAACTCACAAGGCTATTATGCAAAATGAATGAAGAATGTATATTAAATTGCATATAAAAGACAGAACAGAAATATTTTTGAAAAAGTCAGTAGCAACTGAAGATTTTCTTGCAAGTCAGAAATATGAGGATAGAAGGAAAGAAAAAAACTCCCAATATAGATTGAACATTTACTGTGAATTTAAATGTTTGCATCAAAGCACAGTCCCATAGAACATGTTATCCAATCTATTTTATCTCTTTTATGTAAAAGTCCATTATTAAAGAATTATTGTTACAGAAAATTTGGAAAACTACAGACACCAGAATTGAAAGCTCGCAAGTAAACCTACATATTTGTGGGTAACTATTTATGAAAAGGCTCAGGAGCACAAAATGGAGCAAGGAAAATCTCTTTAATAACTGGTGCTAAGAAAACTGAACAGTCACATGCAAAAGAATGAAACTAACACACACTACATACAAAATTTAATTGAAAAGAAAGATCAGAATGCAAGACCTGAAATCATAAAATACAAAGAACACAGGTAACATGCTCTTCAGTATCAGCCTTAGAGATATCTTTGGACACTTGACTCCAACCAGGATGGAAAACAAAAGCAAAAGTAAACATGTGGATTCACATCAAATCGAAAAGCTTCTGCACTGTGAAAGAAACTATCATCAAAACAAGAAACTTCCTACTGAAAAGGAGAAGATACTCACAGATCATACATGTGACAGGGGTTAATATCCAAAATGCTTTAAAAACTCATAAAACTCCACAACAAAATAGCAAACAATTCTGTTAAAAAGTGGGAACAGGAGCTAAATGGACACTTCTTCAAAGAAGCCATACAGATGGTCAATAGGCACAAGAAAAGATCTTCACCATTTTTTATTATTAGGAAAATGCAAAACAAAACAACGTGACATCACCTCAGACCTGTGAACATGACAATTATCCGAAAGACATGTGCTGTAAGATGAACGTGGAGAGACGGAAACACTTGACAGAGTTAATGGGAATGTAAACTGGGGCATTGTAACCATGACGGAAATTTCTAAAATAAACTAAGAATGGAAATCCCTATGATCCATATATCCACTTGTGGGTATTTATCTAAAGAATACAAAAGTGGTGGTTTAAAGATCTCTATGCACTCTATCTAGGCGATCACAGTATTACTTACAATAGCCTAGTACCCTAAGTGCTTATCAACAGATGATTGGACAAAGAAGACGTGGGAATACGACTTTATTAGAAAAAAATTAAATTTGTCATAGCAACATCGACATGGACTTAAACAATATTACACATCATGAAACAAACTAGAAAAAGAAAGACAAACACTGTGTAAGTTTGCTCATATGTAGCACATAAGGAAACAATATAATAATGAACTAAGTAAGATAAAAGAAGCATTGAAACTGGAAGACTAAACCATTGGTTATTAGAAGAGAAGAATGGTAGCTAAATTCAGTAAAAAGGGTCAATCTTAGGGTAAAGGATAGAATTAAACTTTTAGTGGTGAACATAATGTAATATATGCAGATGTTGATGTATACTGATATATACCTAAAAGAAAAAATAATCTCATGTCAGTTGTACAGTAGTTTATCAGTTGTACCTCTAAAAATGCTTTATAGTTTTAGGACTTTTCAGAATGGTCTCTTTAACATTTTAAACTGTTATCAGACACACTGGATTCTCAGTCATTTTAACTAATCCAGATATATTAAGTAAACCCAAACACAAGTGATAATTTATTTGAACAGTCTCCCACTGGTGGACACGATTTTTCTTCATCAGAAATGATGTCACATTAACATCTTTCGAGATATACCCTGAGACAATTGTAAGAAAGCATTGGAATAGATTTCTAGTGAATTGATGTCTAAAAGATAACTGTTTTTAAATTTGAAAGCAAATAGAATATTAAAATTATTTTATTGCTTTTCTGTCTCAAAACTGGTTAGAAAGTCATGTGTTCCAGACTTGGGATTTTTGTGATATAGCCTAAAAAGAAAAATCATGATCAAGTTAAAGATTCCTGTTTCTCGCAGACTACTGATGCCACTGGTTTATGGACTCCAACTCATGTTTATGGAACATTTTCTTGTAAAGTAAACTACAGTGCATTACTTTGATGTGCTTACCTGTCCATATAAAATGTGCAGATTTTTCTGATTCCCATAAAAAATGTTATAATTCTTCATTAAAGAATTAAGTTGATCCCTAAAAAAGAAAGTATTGCATTCAGTTACATATAACATTAAGCTTTTTAACAGTAAAAGTCAATAACTTGTGCTTTTAGTTCATAAAGTATGAAAAAAAAAGAAATGGTTCAACAAATATTTACTAGCCTGTCACTTTAATTTAATGGAGATCATTGAAAACTGAAGCCTTCTTATGACATCAACAAACACGGAAGGTATTAATTCAAAAATAAAAATGTTGGGGAAATGGCTGACCGAGGTGAGCAGTGGTGAAGTCAGTGTTCTGTCACAGAAAGCAGCCATGAGGTAACTATTTGCTTTCACATTCTTTTTTGACTTTGTAACACTTAACCAAGGTTAAACAACTATTACGTGTCTGCCACTTTGTAACACTTAACCAAGGTTAAACAACTATTACGTGTCTGCCACTGTCCTCCCTGAGAGGGGAACAGCCACAGTTCAGGAATGGTCTCTGCAGTTTTCTTCTCTTCATGGCAGCTGGGATCTGATGGTGCAACCCAGGCTTGTGCTACCCCTGATCCTTCCCTCTGTACCATTCCCACTCTAGATACTCACCCACCCTACTAGCGAAGCCACTGCTTCTAAGCCACTGCTTCTACTAGCTAAGCCACTGCTTCTCATCTGGACTATTGCAAGTCTCCTAAACCTCCCTGTGCAACAACAGGAACTATTTTAATGCAAACACGGTTATCTCTATCCTTTCCTCAATAATCTCTACTATCTTCCCAATAATCAGAGTAAAAGGCAATATCCTTCCAATGACTTCAAAGATCAAATGTGATTTGCTCTGTTTTGCACCTTTGATCTCGATTCCCATTGCTCTTTCTTTCATTCTCTGCATGAGCCATTGGGCTCCTGGATGTCTCCTGAATGCAGTAGACATGTGCTCATCTCAAGGTCTTTGTACTTATTGACCCTATTCCCTCTCCCGCCATGGTCCTCTCCCAACTCACTGTCACTGGGTGCTGGTGCATTTAGCTATTTGCTCAACAGACACTTTCTCAAGGAGTTCTTGATCCATTTAAAATTTGCCTTCTCCCAATTTTTATTTTATTTTATTTTTTATAAGATTTTATTTATGCATACAGAACTGGGGTATAGGCTAGAGGTGCAGGGGGCATGAGAGAATTCACCAGAGACAGAGTGGGGAGCAGAACAGGCAGATGGAGGGAGTACACTGCTGAGGGGAGCAGTGGGCAGGTTAGAAGAGGTCTGCCATGCCATGTGGGTCAGCTCTGGGGCTGGGGATCGAACTCACACTGAAGCAGGTGTGGCCAGCTTTGTAGTGCTGTGCTCCAACATACTGCATCATCAGAGAGAGCCCTTTCCCAAATTTTATATCCCATTTTTCCCCCTCTGATTCATAGT